TTTCCCTTCTGGAGGTTCTAGATTCATTTTGACTTTTCCCCTTGCTAAAGGTTCTTGACTGGCTGTGTCTTGTCTGACTGGGAGTTTCCTTCCTGGTGCGACTTCTTGCCCTACTCTGATTTCTCTTCCGACTACGACTTCTTGCCCTTGTTGGGGTTCTAGGCCGGCTGTGGCTTCGGATCCTGCTAGGGGTGCTAGCCTGGTTATAACTCTTGGCCCCGCTGGACTCTTCATTTGGGCTGTAGCTCCATCCGCTCTTGTGGGTCAGGATCACCTGACTGTAACTCTTCACCCTTCTTGATGAGGATGGAGACTGGTGGTGGCCATCCTTGCAGGGAGCTCTAGCTGGGCTGTGGCTCTTGGCCCTGCTGGGGGCTTTGGTTAAGCTGGAACTCTTCCCCATACCTGAGGTTCCTGGTGGGCTGGAACTCTTCTCCCTACTTGTATTTCTAGACTGGCTGTCACTCCTTTCCCAGGTGGTTCTGGACCGACTATGACTCTTCCCTCCAGGCTGTGTTCTCATTCGGCCTGCCATGCCTGGTCGGGCACCCTGAGGTCCCATCCTGCTGGGGGTGCTGGCCCTGCTGGATGACCTCTTGGAGCTGTGACTGCCCTTTCTGCCAGGGGTTCTACCCCGACTATGTGTGCCTCTCTGCCGGTGGTGTCTCATGCCGCTGGCTTTGCTGGCTTTGCTGGCCCTGGTGTCTACGCTGGCCCGGGTGTCAGTGCTCGCTTTTGTGTCAGTGCTTGCCCTACTGGGCGTTCTTGCCTTGCTGCGGACTCGGGACCTGCTGTCGGGCCTGGTTGATGGATCGATCTTTGTACTTGTTGATTTGGTGGACTTGGAACTGCTCGGGCTTGCAACTGAGTTGGGGGATGTTGGTCTCTTGGTGGGCACTGAGGAGCTGTTGGCCATTGCCAGTTGGGTGGTCTTCAAGGAGGCAGGAGGCTTGGGAGCCGCAGAAGGCATGGAGGGTCCAGTGGAAGCTAGAGACAGGCTGGGCTTTGAGGATCTCTTAGGTGGAGAAGGCATGATGGGCACTAAAGGGCTGGTGGCCCTGGTAGTCACTGTGGACATGAAGGACCTGGTAGCCGTGGGTGATGACTTCATTGCTTGTCATAGGCCAAGGCATGAAGTCATAGTGGGCATTGAAGATCCTGAGGGTGGGTAATGTGTAGTCAGAGGTGAGGAGGGGAGAGGGGAGGAGCTTTAGCCTGGAATAGATATATTTGCTCTGTTTCGCGGCCATTCAACAAGCATCTCTCAAGACTGACTCACGTCGGCCTTGCTGAGGGCCTAGAGATGGGTCAGAGGGTCTCTAGACTCAAGTGATCACTGCCCAGTTTGGTCAAGCTGTGATGGTGGGTGGGCAGGGATGGGGGGGGTGAAACCAGACAAGAGAGACACTGACTGATAGCCTGGAGAGATGAATGAGCAGAGCCTTACAGAGGAGGAAGCGTTTGCCAGTAGAGAAGGAAAGGGTCATCTCAGATGGGAGAAAGGCAGAGGCAAAGGCCAAGAAGAGGGAGACCAGGGCATTGGGGCTACAGCCACCTGGGCATCTGCACATCCTCTGGCGGGCAGTATGAGGGACTCTTGAGTCCCCAGTCTGTCAAGGGAGATATACTGGGGCCCGGATGGGTACAGCCCCTAGGAGGACAGTGATGGGGGAGATGCTGGGCCAGGAGGCCAGGGAATAGGGGGCGGGGGAGAGCTTGGTAGGGAGCTGGGGATATCAAGGTGGTGGCTTCATAGAGTATGGGGCTTGTGCTGAAGGTTATGAGGGTTTGGGTCGAAGAATATGAGGGTTTGGGTCTCCAGGTAGACAGGGTGGTAAACAGTGTCCCAGGCAGCATCTCAGAGCTCATGCCAAGACTTCAGGAGACTTTCATTAAATGGCAGAGAGACAGCAGGACAAAAATAGGAACTTGTGAGAAACAGAGAGCTGCAGGGAGGGATGTTCAGCAAACATTTATCATGATCCTCAGGACCCAGCAATGAGTCAGCCCAGACTTGTCCCCCTGGTTTGTTGCAAGGAACTTGGACAGCCGGCTGTAGCCCTGGGATCCAGTTGCCTTCATCTCCATACCATCAGCTGGCCCAGCAGTGGGTGCTCTTGTTATGGTTGTTATTGTTCCGTGACTACTACTACTTGTCCTTATTAACCCCCCTTACCTCGAGGTGTAGCTCTTGTAAGACAGTCACTTGATTGCCAGAAACATGGAGTACCTGTCTGTGCCTGGTCCTGTTCTGTGTCAGGGGACCCACCCATGGGGAAGGGAAGGAGTGTGCCTGGGTGCCTGGATCCACACTGGGGCGAGTCTGGGTGAAGCTCATGAAGGCAGCAGCCAGGTACAGCCCTCTGTCTGCTAATGCTGCCCATCTGTTCCCTACAGGCCCTGAGCGTTCCTCTGACTCTGAATATACCCTCTCAGAGCCGGACTCTGAAGAGGAAGAAGATGAGGAGGAAGAGGAAGAGGAGACCACTGATGATCCTGAATATGACCCAGGCTACAAGGTGAAGCAGCGCCTGGGAGGCGGCCGGGGCGGCCCATCCCGCCGGGCCCCCCGTGCAGCCCAGCCCCCAGGTCCCCCGGCTCAGCCCTGCCAGCTCTGTGGCCGCTCACCGCTTGGGGAGGCTCCACCTGGCACCCCACCATGCCGGCTCTGCTGTCCTGCTACAGCCCCCCAGGAAGCACCAGCCCCTGAAGGCAGGGCCCTCGGGGAGGAAGAGGAGGAGCTACCTCGGGCTAGAGAGGGCCGACCAGTCGGGCGGGAGGAGGAGGAAGAGGAGGAGGAGGAGGAAGAGGAGGAAGGCACCTACCACTGTACAGAGTGTGAGGATTCCTTTGATAACCTTGGGGAGCTGCATGGCCACTTCATGCTGCACGCCCGGGGTGAGGTGTAGGCAGAGCCCCAGCCGGGGAGCTTGGCAGTGGGGTAGGGTGGGAAGAGGGAGCAGAGGAGACTGGGTGATTGCAGTGGTCCTGTGGGATGGGGTACTGCCAATCTGTGTTGTCTTAGCAGTAGATGTGTGATAGCCAGAATAAAAGCCAAATTCTGTGTGTGTTGGTCCAGTAGTGTGTTTGATGTTTATGTTTGATGTGTGTGTGCGTGTGTGAGTGAGATGGGCTTGGGCATTTATCCCAACAGCCCTCTGATCTTGAGAAAACTCAACCTTCTTGTGTACAAAATAACTCAACATTTACCAAGTGCCTACGTTCAATGTGGTTTCCACTTATTCATCTGTAGACCCCATAACATAAAGGATCAAACAAAATGGAATTTATTTCTCATTTATAGTCCTAGGCAGGTGATATGGGGACCTAAGCCACCCCCCCTTAAGTCTGTTGTCACCCACATGGTCAAAGCTGGATGGCCGCAGCTGGGTCCGAGGGAGGTGTTTGTATTCTGTACAAACCTCGGCTTGCCAGAGGCAGTCACTGCCTTAGTTTCTGTGCCTTTGCTGAGAAATCAGTTATAGAGCTGTAGCCAGCTGCAAAGGAGTCTGGGAAAGGCAGGCCAGCCAAGCATCCAGAAGCAGAAAACGGTTCGTTGAGGACAGCTAGTGCTCTCTGCCATATCCTAAGAACTTCCACAAAGAGGACTTTAATTATAGTCAGAGCTGCACTTCCTGCGTGTCTAGAGCTGGGCTAGGGGCTTTATATATATTGCCTCGTAGAAGTTGTGCATCTAGGAACTTCCAGAAATAGAACCTTAATTATAATTACAGCTACCATTTCCCAGCACTCACAGAGTGCTGCACTTTATTTGCCATGAGATCATCAGGCTCTTAGAATAACTCTGTGAGGTGAGAACTGTGATCCGTAAGTTCACTTAAGACATAATTCCCAAGTACCTGGTATGTGCTAAGCACTGGCATTATGCCAGTGAATAAAATGGAATTCTTGTCCTCTTATCCTCATGGGGCTTACATGGGGGCAAGAGGGGACTGCCAGTGGAGAAAGATAAGAAACTTACGAGTAAGATACAGCAGATGCTTGGGACCAGCAGTTAGCGTAATGGCTATGTCGCTGGACTCCCACATAGTCTCCCACGCGGTTCGCATCCCGGACCCGGTGGCTTAAAACTCATGCTGGGCGCGTGTGCGTGCGTGCCCAAGATCCCGAGAGGAGAATGGAGGAGAAGGGATTGCGGCGTGGCCATCCCCCCTGGGGGGTGATTTCTCGCTTTCTATCTCTCTGTCTCTGTCTTTCTGGCAAGTGCACGTGCCCTTTAGCGAAAAACCTCTAAAAAAGAAAAAAAAAAGATACAGCAGATGCTCAATGGTAATAGAGTCTGCGGAGAAAAGGCAGAAAAAGGAGGGCAGCTGCAGTTTGAAATAGTGTATTCTTCCTTGAGAAGGTGACAGAACTGAAGGATGGAGGGGAGGGAGCCTGTACGTCATGGGGAAGAACAGTTCAGGTTGAAGCAGGCAGGAGCCTGTTATGTGTGTCAGGCCAGAGTGACTAGAAGTGAGGGAGGGAGAGCAGTTCTGCAGGGACAGGACAGCAGATAGCAGGAGGGGCAGCTCGTTGCAGCCTTGGTGACACTTGGGCTCTTGCTCTTGAAATGGCACCAAGACTGCTTTGAAAATAGAAGCCTAATGATGGTGAAAGCCACCATGTACTGAGCATTTACTGTGTGCCAAGCCCAATTCTAAGGCATGTTACATGTGTTAACTCATAGAAGCTTGGCAACTAAGAACCTTCAAGAATAGGACCTGAAATACCGTAATGGCCATCATTAAGTCAGCGTTCACAGCGGACCAGGCCCAGAGCTAAGTGCTCTATATGGACAATCACATCGGACCCTTACGAGGTAGGGACTGCTATTTATTTACTCATTCACTGAACAGTAATTTATGGGGCATCTTCAAGATGGCAAGCTCTGTCTAAGCTGGGAACACAGCAGTGAACATGGTGAGTCTCCTTGCCCTTGGGGAGGTTATATTGCAGTGGATAGGGCAGTTATCATATATTTAAGTAAACAATAAAATGTACAGAAACTTAGAAAGTTGGATGGGAGGTTCGTGTGTGTATACATGTGAAGTTTGTGGTCTGGAATAGGAAGGTCAGAGGAGGGTTTGCTGAGAAGGTGATGTCAGATCAGACCTGGAGGAGGAGGAGAAGGAGGGAACCATGTGACTATCTGTGGGAAGCTAAGTGCAAAGACTTGAAGTTGGAATCTGCTTGGGGTGTTTGTGGGGCCATGAAGCCACAGCTGACTGAGGATGGCAGGGGATGGACAGACTGGTGGGAGGTAAGGGCAGAGGGGCAGAGAGCCGCAGCATTATACCAACTCCAGGTTTTTCTCCAAGTCTGAGTTCTTAGAATAATCCTTAGAGGCATAGGGGCTATTGGGTTGTCGGAAAATTTATGACCCATTTTTGCATAGAAAACTATGGCATGGGCCAGCATGTGGTGTGGTGTTCAAGGGTGCTGGACTCCCACATGTCTGGCCACAGTTTGAGTCCTGGACCTGCCGGCTTGCTTTCTCACTTTTCTTCTCTCTCTCTGTCCCTCTCTGGCCAAATTAAAATAAAGTAAGTAAGTAAATAAGTTAAATAAAATAATTCAATAATTCTTTAGAAAAACACAGCATGACATTTCCAACAACCGAACATTTTCATGACCATTTTACAACTGCAGCAGTGGCACAGAGAGGTTGAGTAACTTGCCAGAGTCACACAGCCAATAAGAAGCAGGTTTGAACCCAGAGCACTAGCTGCAGGGCGTATATCCTACACACACTAGAAATGGAAGCCCGGTGGCCCACAGCCACCAGGCTTATATTTCTCTCACTTAGAGAAATGTATTTGTTCTCCACAGAACTATTTTTTTTCATTTAACTTTATTTATTCATTTGTTTTAGTTTGACCAGAGAGGAACAGAGTGAGAGAAAGAGAAAGTGAGAAAGCAAGCCACCAGGTCCAGGACTTGAACCACAGTCAGCCATGTGAGAGTCCAGCACCCCAGCCACCATGCCACCTGCTGGCCCCTCCACAGAGCTATTTAAATTTAAAAAGCCACTCAGGTTTATCAACATTGAAAAATGGCTGCTGTGCACCTCAGCCTGTCTAGACGCTCAGTGTGTGGAGGCGGGCTGAGCTTTTTTGGGTTCTGAAAGGTGGAGTTTAAGGCAGAGATTCAGTCGTTTTGGTCCCATAACATGGCAGATTTAAGGCTTTCGGCTGAACTTTTTGGGGGTCTGGGGAAATGATGACTTAATCACCTTCTAACCTTCAAACCATGGTTGGCCGTACCAAGCTGCCTGCAGGTCCCAAGTCTCCACCTCTTAATGACACATTGGGCCTTAGGTTCTCAACATCAGAATCCTGGGGGCCACATACATTCAAACCATAGTACATGGATGAGTAATAATGGGTTTTGTTTCCCCGACAGCATGGCAGGGGGAATGAGCACACCAGAATCAGGGCTACAGGAGTCATGTTGACACAATTTTTATTTATCTATTTTTTTAAATTATTTAAAGAATTATTTTATGGGACCAGCAGTTAGCATAATGGCTATGTTGCTGGATTCCCATCTAGTCGACCATGGTTCGAGTCCTACACCCGGTGGCTTAAACTCCTTTTGGGATTTTGGGCACTCAGATACATTTGCCTGGTGTGATTTTCAAGCTGCTGGGTCCAGGACTCAAACTGCAGTCAGACATGCAGGAGGTCAGCACCTTAACCATTAACCACTACACTACCCACTGGTCCCAGTGAGGTCTTAATATGTTATTTATGGGATGCCATTGGAAGCTTTTAAATGAGTGATGTGAGCTGATTTACATGCCCACAGGGTGTCCGTAGTAGAGAAGAGGGGGCAGAAGTGGCATCAAGGGAGCAGTAAGGAGGTTAGGGCTGTAGCTGGCTGAGGAGTACTTAGACTCTAGGATTTAAAAGTAGGATGAGCATGGGGCCAGCAGGTGGTGTGGAGTTTAAAGCTTTAAGGCAGCTGAATCTCACATAGCCAACTGTGTGGATCAGGTCCCAGACCTAGCATCTTAAAAATCACACTGTGGGGAACGAGCAGTTAGCGTAATGGCTATGTCGCTGGACTCCCACGTAGTCAACCACGGTTCGTGTCCCAGGCCCGGTGGCTTAAAACAGGCCGGGCGCATGTGCGTGCATGCCCAAGATCCCAAGAGGAGAATGGAGGAGAAGGGATTGCGGCGTGACCATCCCCCCTGGGGGGTGATTTCTCGCTTTCTGTCTCTATGTCTCTGTCTGTCTGCAAGCACACGCGCCAGGTAGCAAAAACCTCTCCCCCCCCCAAAAAAAAAAAAAAATCACACTGGGCATGTGTGCATGCATGCTCAAAATCCCAAGAAGAGAATAGAAAAAGGATTGTAGCTTGGCCATCCCCCCAGGGGATTATTTCTCACTTTCCCTCTCTCTGTCTTCAGTGAGTGCACATGACCTATAGCAAACATTTTTTAAAAATAAAAAATAAGATGAAAGGGTGAGCAGTTTATTAACATGATGGCAGTTATATAAGTCAGGGCTACAGGAGCCATGTTGACACAATTTTTATTTATCTATTTTTTAAAATTATTTAAAGAATTATTTTATGGGACCAGCAGTTAGCATAATGGCTATGTTGCTGGATTCCCAT